CATATGAAATATATTCACCTCAGCAAGACTTTTGTATAAAAGTTGCTACATAGTTGAAAAGACATTTTGTTGGCAAATATTTCTCATGAATACATCACAAATGTTTTCTGCCCCTTTAGTTGCAAAGATATGAGATGTGACTTTCTGAGAAACATGTGAGAAGTATCTTTAGTATGGTTTACTTGAGAATAATAGTTAATAAATGCACTCTAATTTTCATACATTTGTCGAGAGACAGGGACTCATTAACTGTATACTGAGTGTTAAAAGTGATAAAATTTATAAAGGAAAATTGGACTATAAGTCTCCCAGACACAATTTGTAATGGAAAATGACAGCCTCCTTTATATCTATACTTTTGCTACATGTTTGAAACAGGCACTGCCATCTGGGTTGAAAAATATATCAACTTCCCAAATTCAGCTCAGTGTCCAAGTGTATCATCCACTCAGTGACCTTACATTGCAGCTTCTGATCTTCAATTCCAGTGAAGTTTAATTCAATTCTCCTTTAACTGCTCGATCCACGGCCATATCCTTGTCACCAGCTAGAAGTACTTCTCTTCTGTTATTAACCTCTAGTAGCCAACTGTAATGCAGATATTTCTCTCCTAAATGCCCTCTTTTTCTTATTCACACTAGATGTCTCTGTCTTTATTAAGTCCAAGTCTCACTTAATCCCTCCATTTTCTCCAAGTCTCTCAGCTCACTGCTGCCTTCATGTATACCTGGATCTAATTTGTCCACATAACCTGTCATTTAAAACATCTCCCCACAAATTACAACAAGGCTACCTTCTTTCTTCTTAAACCAACAACACAAAAAAGCATATTTTAAGAACAACTTCAAAAATTCCGATGAGTAATGAATTTTCAAGCCAAATCTTTCTTTTTTTTTCCTTGTCGGTCAGAAAAATTAGCCAGTGAACCAGCCATCTACAAATAATCAGAATTCATTGGTTCAGCAATTTTAAATCCTCTTTAACATTAGGTTTTGGAAATGCTCACCTTCTTCTAGTTCTCTGTATCATATGCTGGGAAGCCCTATTCATCATACCTTCCCAACCAATCTCCCCCTCCCCAGCCCTCAACCCAATCTGGAACTTTTTCTCACAATAGCATAACCCCTTGAATTCTATCATCTCCTGATATTGACTACCCCAGTGTTCTGTGGATACTGACATTTTTGTGCTCTGCTTCTTACTTGTTAAATGTGTGTTTCTAATAGTGAAAGTTGGTGACCATAGAATATTAATATATTATTTCTCCAGTATTCAGTCATCCTATAATAGTTACAATAATAGCTAATCCTTGTAGTGTACTTTTATAAGGCAGACACTTTTCTAAGCAATTTACATATATCAACTATTTCATTCTCTAAGTAGATGCATGCTGTTTTTGTATTTATTTCACAGAATTACCAACTATGCCTTTGCTTATTTCCCTTATGGGTCTCTAGACGTTGAGGAGGGGGAGGTAATGACCCTGGTAAGTGCTCCTCAGGGAATGCAAGTCCCTCTCATTCCTCCACTCCCCAGAGTTGATCGTCTTACAAAGAGAGAAGCAGCATTCCAGCCCCAGCACTGGGGAGGTGTTAATGCCAAGGTAGCACGGACTTGCTGAAGTGTGGAGCCCCTGCCCCATTCGATGCCAGTGGCCAGTCCTGCTGGTGGTGAGTACTCAAGCCCGGGATCTCCCAGCCCCACCTCCTGAAGCAGCTTTCAGAAGCTTCCGGAGGAGCCTTCCAGGAGGAGTCCCAATACCACCCCATAATTAGCCCTCTAGATTTTTCCCTTTGCTTCCTGAACCTATGTGACAGAGTGAGGGGAAGTTTGTCCTAAACTTGATGGCATGTGAAGAACAAACAAAAATGTCAGAGAATGCCATGGATTCTAGAAGTAGTTTGGTCACCATAATACCTTGGGTATGCATAATATCTTGGCAATGCATGTACCTTGTGTATATGTTCACCTATTAAGTAGAAAGTCCTCATGTCCTTGTTTCCCTTACAGATGTGATCTGAGTATTTGTGAGGAGATAACAAGGAAAATCATTATCAGTAGAAATTTGAGGATAATCTGCATTTGATCCCTTGTGAGAATACCTGAGAAGGGAGACAGAAAGCGTATGGAGATCCTAATATTCACTGGTTGCTAAAGGCTCATGTTAAGCACTCAGAGCCACTCTCTGAGGCAGGAATTAGCCTGTCTTTAAAAATAGCGGAGCATCACAAAGCTTAAGCAGGTAAATATATACTGCAGATAGCCTTCACCTCCAGGGGTGTCCACGTCCAGGGATGTGGTATTTGCTGTAACGTTTTCTTCTTTCTGCTGATTTCTTGTGTCCTATTTCAGTGTTCTATAGAGTAAATAATTCATTTTTCCTCTCCCAAACTGAAATTCTTTTGCTATACAAACCCTAAACTCAGGGGAATGATCATTGGGAAGGAGACCTGAGCCTTGCTTGGCTGGGGAGACTGGAAGTCAAGGACGGAAATGAAGCCAAGAGCAAAAGGGATAGAAAAGAGCACTGAGAGGCAGAGAAGGCTGCTGATAATAGGGGAGGGGCCACCCTAGTTTCAAGCAAATATCTTTCAAAATCTGCCCCTTGCAGTATCAGGTCATCTGGGTTGACATAGGCGAGAAATTGGGTATGATGGGATCAAGTGTGTGGTGAGGCCCCATATGGGAGAAAGAGCTGCTCACCCCAGAAGCAGAGCAATATTTGGTCCATTGAAAGAGTTAAGAAAGATATGTTGGGCTTTTGGAGGTGAGGCAAGAGCATATACTCCCCGTAACAACTGGAGCTAGAACTGTCCCTCAAGTCCTGCAGCTGTGGGAAGTTGGGGCCAGCGTGATCTGTTCTTGAGGTCGGTAATTTGTCGCTGAATTTGCCTACCCTAGGTTTTAGCCCAGCCCAGAGCACAGAGTTTGTCCTAGGCTGATGTTTGCTGAGGTGAACTGCATCCCACCTTGGTCGGTGCACAGGGATCTTGTGCTCCGGCAGGCAAAGGACACTTCCTTTTCTTTTCTTTTTTTTCCCTCTCATATATTCATGAAAGTAAAAGCTATGAAAAAAGTGAATGATCTGAATATGTGAATTAGGAATTGTTATTTTCTGCCTGCTTTCTGTCAGACCTTTTCAAAGTGCAGCCTTATATACCCACTGCCATGGTGATTGTTTCCTGCATCATGTTTCTCCCAACATCTCCATGTAGCCAAGAAAAATTCTGATTATTCGGGCCTCAGCCAAAGTGTCACTTTCTGAGGAAAGCTTTTGCCGATTTTTTAGAATAAATTAGAATTTCCCCTCTAGGTCCCTCCCATTGTATCCTGAACTGTTTTTTCACAGCACTTAACATAGTTGTAACTACGTCAGAGAGAAGATGTCAGCCTGTGTGCTGACTGTGTTTGGATATTTGAGGGAGAGGAAATGTTCTTTGACCCTTGGTTGAAAGTGGCGGAGATGTTCGAGTAGGGCCCAGGCTCTATGCACCAGGGTCCTGCGCAGTGCCTGGCATGAACCATTGCCGACTAATTACAGACACACGTACTCTCTGTAGGTCCTGAGGGGTGGCAGGGGTAAGCAAAATGGTTTCTGACTGGGAAGGCATTTTCTTTTTAAGTAACAGTGAACTTGGCAAAATTGAGAATGAAGATAAAACTTGGAACCAAGGTAGAGAAGATGGACTGTGTGTAGAAGGGTGGCTAAAAATGTAAACTTGGTTGCATCATTTGTGGGGGCTCCAACATGTGAAGCCTAAATACCACAATTTTTCCATTTGTTCTGCTTCATGATTCTGAAAAGAGAGCTAGCTTTGCCCAGTTCTTATTTTAAAAGCTTTTTGCAAATCCCATTGTGTAATGGGGTCTATATGAAGTTAGCTCTATCTGTATACCCTTCCCTGGCAAAATACTGTTTAATCCATGTGTTGGTAGTAGTTAACTCCACCATCTTTGTAAGCTAATGAAACTGGCTTAATGCAGTGAGTCACCCATTTATATTTTAATTGTTAATCATGTCACTTCCTGAATGGGTAGCTCTTTAGCTTGCCAAGAAGAACCTAGTAATAGCCACCATGTATTAGTGAGGCTCCTGTGCAGGAGTTCTCATGAGGGCAGATACAGACAAGACTTCAGCAAGGGTGGAAATATGTGCATGTACAAGTATGTGAGCAGACTGTGTGTGTGTCAGAGGTGGGAGGGGCTGAAAAATGCCACCAAAGCCCCTTCCTACCCTGTCAGTCCAGGATGCTGTTGTTATTCCTGTGCTGTTTCAGACAGTGCTAAGTTTAGGACTTCCCAGCTCAGGGCAGTGGTGTCCTCCCTTGGGCTGCCATCCTTTCCATCCCAGGAGAACCTTCCCTGAAGGTCTGTTCCAGGTCCCATCGCTGCTGTGCTCAAAGGTGGGCCTGGACCAGAGCAAAGCCCCAGTGGGTCCGGTGCCTCATCCTTGAGAACTGTGAGTCAAGAGATGGTGCGTGTCATCATGACTTGAGACTTAAAGTCTGCATACAAACCTACCAGCCTTGACTCCTGCCTCACTCTGTCTTTTACACATGATCTTTCCAGTTGCTTCACAGTCCTTTCAAAGGCCACGACAGCCAAACCCAGATAGGTCCGTGCTCCATTGCTTTCTAGCTAAGTGTCCAGTCACCTGCTCTAGGCTCTGGTCCCTGCTTCTTCTCAGCCTCGCCTTGGACTTCAATTATAGATATATTTATATTCATTTACCAGGTATTTTTAGCTGTTTTCATATACAGTGCTCTTTGCCTCATATCTGTATATTTACCAATAGTACCTTTGTTCACCTATTTCTGACATTGGTCTATACTTTATGTTGAGATCACCTACACATGCCTCTCTTCCCAGCTGTTTTTCAGGGTCAGGCATCTCCACACCAAGGTGAGGCAGCCCCTTCTCCTTTAGCAGCTCCAAGGTGAACTACAATTTTGAGTTTCTCATTTTCAAAGTATCACTGATGCCATGGATGGAATTTCAACATGAAGAACTCCAATAGCTCTTTGGAGTTCCTGCCTACAACCTTCATTCTGGTTGGCATCCCAGGGCTTGAGGCAGAGCACATCTGGATATCCATCCCTTTCTGCATGATGTACATTATCATCTTCCTTGGGAATGGTATCATTCTTCATGTCATCAGAACGGACTCTGCCCTACACCAGCCCATGTACCTCTTTCTTGCCCTGTTGGCACTGGCTGAGGTCGGTGTCTCTGCATCCACTCTTCCTACAGTGCTGGGCATCTTCCTTTTTGGCTCTACTGAGATTAGTTTTGATGCATGCCTTCTCCAGATGTTCTCCATTCATTCTTTCTCCATTATGGAATCAGCTGTTTTGCTGGCCATGTCTGTGGACCGATTTGTGGCTATTTACAGCCCACTGCACTATACAGCCATCCTGACTCGGTCTCGTGTATTTGGCACAGGGGTGATTATTGGGCTGAAAAGCATTATGCTCATGGCCCCATTGCCCATGCTCCTAAGGCTCCTGCCCTTCTGTGGCCACAATGCCCTCTCCCATTCCTATTGCCTCCACCCCAACCTTATTCATCTACCATGTGGGGACATTTCTATCAACAATATCTATGGGCTTTTCATCGTTACCTCCACTTTTGCACTAGATTCACTGCTCATTGTGATCTCCTATGGACTCATACTCCACACTGTACTGAGTATCACCACTGGAGAAGGGCGGAGGAAGGCACTCAACACGTGCAGCTCACATGTCTGTGCTGTGCTTGCTTACTACGTGCCTATGATTGGCTTATCTATGGTGCACCGCTTTGGACACCCTGTGGCCCCTTTGCTGCATGCTATGATGGCCAATGCTTACCTCTTCTTGCCACCTGTTGTCAACCCCATTGTTTACAGCATGAAGACCAAGGAGATCCGTCACGGCATTGTCCGGATTCTATCAGAGAAGAGACCCAGAATTTAGACATAAGACAAAGTAGGAAGGGACTTTTTTCTGTAATCACAGGTGGTCTTAGCTTGCATGTTATACAAGTAGTGTTACTTTATACTTTGTTATCTGATAGGAGGTTCCCCAGAATCTGACACTAAACTGGAGTGCAGGTACAAGAGGGGGTAGAGTATATGTGGCAGAATAGTATAAAGAATTGATGTTATTTTACAACATGTCATGTGGTATGAGGTCTTGCATTACTTCACATACACAGCAGGAGCAGGAATGCAGAAAGGATTATTTATGAAAACATAGAACTCTGCATGAGGGAGAGATACAGGAATTAAAAGGTGTCCTAGGAAGTCTATTGAGCCCTCAGTTCTAGGGAAAGAGGAATTGAAACGTATTACATTCTCTTGAGCTGTTAGTACCTGAACTCAATAGCAGGAGGACATACTAGCTGGCCCATAGGAGGCTTTCAGTACTGGCTATGATGTGGCATTCACTCAACCTCACCAGTGGTCCAAGTTGGTGGTCCCAACAATTAAAAATCTTGTTCATTGTGTAAAATTCTGAAGGCCTCCCACCTAGGGTGCAGAATCCTTCAAAAAAGCAAGCATACCCTTTGTGGACAGTATTTTCTGTCTGATTGGGTATTCCTTTGCAGACATCTAGAATAATGTAAACATTTTACATTAACAATTTCAAGGAAAGAAACTAGGACTTTTAAGATACAAATGTATATGAGGCATTTTATAGTTATTATTTCCATCATTCCCCACAACAATCCTTTGGAGTAGAATTTAGGCAAATTTTATTTTTCAGATGGAAAACAAACTGGTGCTTAGATACAGTAAACATCTTGTTCAAAACAATACACTGAGAGCTAACAATGGAATGCAGTTGGATCTAACTCCAGGGTCTGAGATACTAGCCTCTAAATGATAATGTCAACAAAGCAAGAACAGCAGCTCCTTGGGTCCTCAGAGCAAACGTCAGTCAAGTAACATTGATTGAGTACACTCTGGGTCAGGCACAAATCTAAGTCCTAGATATAAAGTATTAACAAAAGAGACAAAGTCCTTCCCCCAAGGAGCTTATAAATATTTATTTTCCTACCTCTGTCTCTGCTGTACGTCCTCCTGGAACAACATTTAGAACCAATTAAAATAGACTTTATAACAGTCTTACAAATAAAGCTTTGAATATGAATCTTAAAATTTTTGAATGTTTTTGTCTTTTTAGAGTACACATATGAGTGAAACCATATAGCATTTGTCTTTCTCTGCCTGGCTTATTTCACTTAGTATAATACTGTCTAGGTTCATCTATGTTGTTGCAAATGGTAAGATTTCTTTCCTTTTTATGTCTGAATAATATTCTGTTGTATATATGTACCACACCCTTTTTATCCATTCATCTACTCATGGACACTTTGGTTGCTCCTATATTTGGCTATTATAAATAATGTGGCTAAAACAAAACAAACAAAACAGCACTAGACTCATAGACACAGAGAACAGACTGGTGGTTACCAAAGAAGAGGGGTGGAGGTAGGTGGTGAAACAGGTGAAGGGGAAAAAGAGGCACAAAATCTCAATCATTATACAAATTTGTCATGGGGATGAAAGTACAGTATAGATAATATAGTGAATAGTTCTGTAACATCTTTCTTGTTGACAGTAACTACACTAATTGGGGTGAGGTCTTAATATGGGTAGCTGTTGAATCACTGTGTTGTATACTTGAAACCAATATAATACTGTATATCAACTGTACTTCAATAAACAAAAATGTAAATGGTTTGCCTGCATTGTGCACTATAGAGATGCCAAAACAGCCAAAGATTTTTTGTCAAAGTTAATTCTGACCCTACCTCCAGATTTTCACATACCTTTTTTCCATAGATTCTGACTGAGGGATATTAAGTTGCTTATAACTGTACCCTAGCTTGTTGACTACAAATGGATGGCAGAATGCTGCAGAGAAAAACTCAGAATTATAGAAATATCAAGAAAAACTAAGTGGGTAAAACCAAAAGAAGGTCAGCCAATAGATGCCCAGAGAAATGACAGAGTGCTAATTTCCTGAGAGGATAAGAGAAGGGGACGTATCTTTAGAGTGTCTAGAGAACAACTCCCTATAGCTGGAGAGACACAGGAAGAAATGTGGAACCTGGTTGTCACGTGGCTTGACAAAAAAGTGAGAATCTTAGGTCTTACTTTGGTTTTCCCTCTGAGATTGCCTGGTGAATCTTCAGGCTTTTTAAAAACGATTACTCCCTATGCTTAAGGCCATCAAAGACATTGAGATTCTAAATATATAGCTTTTCAGATCATGGTTAATTTAATGGAACCTTTCAACTCCATCCTAGGAAGGATTCCCCACATAATGTCCCATCTAGCTCTAGTCTCTCTTATTTGATTTCCAGTCTTTATCACTTTATTTTCCTGGGGTTCAGTCTCAGAGACAACCTCAGAATCAAACAAAATACCAAAAACTCACACATTGAAAGGAAGAATTCTCTGGGTGTCTATGAAATTGAATAATTACTGTAATCCAATGTGACTCTATGGGAAATACAAGTTTGGCTCCATCTTTTTCTGCCATTATGTTTACTATAATAACTTAAAATTTAGACCTTTTGAAACTATGTTGATCCTTTATTTCCTCAACAGAAAAAAAATGATAAGTAATTATATTAAGATAGACATGAAGCTAAATTATGCATTAGAACACTTGAGAAAAATGTGTAAAATATTACAGGCATTTCCACATTCATCAAGGGCATACTAGTTTATTTTAGTCCAGTCTTCCTGCCAAGGAAAATAGCAGAGGTAGAGAAATATTTTGCAAATGACTTCAGAGAACATCCAATGCAATGAAGAGGGAAAGGCTAAGACCCCAAAGACAAGGAAAACCCAGATAAAGGAGCTGAAATTTGGTGCCATTTCCCCCTTAAGGAATTTATCCATTCAGAAGTAATAGCTGATAAAATGAAAAGAGCTTACAGCCATCTCAATGGGTTAGAGTGCAGAGGGACAAAATTAGAACCCAAAGATCCCCATGGATGAAGGGGAATGGTAAATAACTAGGCATTTACTTGGATTCCAGAAATTTTATACTTTGAAATAAGGTAAAGTCAGAAATAGACTAGCATAACATAGGGTTTAAAACCAACTCTCTTCCTAATTTTACTACTTTGTCTGTAAGAATTAGGGTGACCAACCATCCCAGCTTCTCCAGGACTTTTGTAGATGTCAGAAAGTACCACATCCTGGGAAAACCCTCAGCCATAATCCAGGATGGTTGGTCACTCTAATCAGAAGTAAAATCAAATACTTTCAACAGGAAAATATTAACCATTGTCTCAAATTAGCCTCATAATTTTTCATGACATTCATTAAAATCCAACCAGGAATGTAAAATAAAAAATTGAATAAAAATCAAGAGAAAAAAGAAAATAGTATTAGATCCATAGAAGATACAACTATTGAGATAGCACACATAGACATTTAAGAACTTTTTATTAATATAGCCCAGAACTTAAATTGGAAAGTATAGGATTTAAGCAATAGCCATTAAAAATGAAATGAAAATACTAAAAATAACTGAAATCAAAGAGTAAATGGATAGGTTTAATCATATTAAGCACAATTAAAGAATAAAAAGTATTAGAGAATTTAGAGTATATCCAGACTAGAGAAGTAAAAGGATAAAACACAACTGAATGGTGGATGGATGGATGGATGGATAGATAGATAGATAGATAGATAGATAGATAGATAGATAGATAGATAGATAGATAGATAGATAGATAGATAGATAGATAGATAGTTGATAGAAGATAGATAGGTAGATAGTTGATAGAAGATAGATAGATAGATAGATAGATAGATAGATAGATAGATAGATAGATAGATAGATAGATAGATAATAGATAGACTGAAAGAATATATGGTATTTGCTGGAAAGATCAAATACCCATGTATTTGGGGACCTAGAAGGAGAGTGTCCTGGGCAAAAGCAATATTTGAATATAACAACATATTTTCAAAAACTGACATAAAACATAAGCCAAGATTCAAGGAACACAATAGCCTGCAAGGAGGATAAAAACAAAACAAATAAACAAAATACTGTAGACACTTCAAGATCACACAACTATAAAGTAAACGTTAAAGAGTGAATGCTACAATTAGAAAAAAACATCAAAATCCATCAATTTTTCAGTAAAAGAGTAACAGCTCTTTTCTGATGTTCTAACAATAAAATGAACAGAAAAGACAATGGAGTAATGCCATCAAACTTCTAAAAGAAAATAAAGGCCAACATGTCTTCTATAAACAGACAAAGTAATATTAAAAAATGGAGGTAAATGAGAGAACCCACTAATGGTAATTTGAAGGACAATCATTTGATAGCGTATGGGGCTGCAAAAATCAATAAAGGCAATAGCTGGATAAATGTAAATAAAGATTGACAATATGGAAAAAATATTTTGTATTCTTAAATTACCAAAAATAAAACATACCACTAAAAGACAAAAGATGGGAAGGAGTAAGTGGAGGTAAATTAGTCTTCAGGTCTGCTTTGTGTATTAAGCAGTCAAAAACCAGTATAAATTAGATAACATATTAATCAGCTCAGGCTGCCATAACAGAATACTTCAGACTGGGTGGCTGAAAGAACAGAAACCTATTTCTCACAGTTCTGGAAGCTGAGAAGAACAATATGAAGGTGCTGGTAGATTAGGTTCCTGGCAAGGACGCCCCTCCTGGCTTGCAGATGCCACCTTCTTACTGTGTACTCACAAGATGGAGAGAGAGACCTGATCTTGCTTTCTTTTCTTAAGGGCACTAATCCCATAACGTGGATCTCACCCTCATGTCCTTGACTAAGCCTTATTACCTCCCAAGACTCACTTCCAAATACCATCCCACTGGGGGTTAGGGCTTCAACATATAAATTTGGGGGAATTTGGGGACAAATATTCAGTCCATCAATTGATAAATGAAAGGTGCATATTTTAA